AATTAATAATAATAATAATAATATAAACAAATATCAATAAATGTCGTTAATAAAATTTTGAATATAGGGGTATCTTATTATTTTTAATATATTATTATTAACTTCTTATAAATGAAACATCAATAACAATTATTTTTTAAAAATACAATGCAGTACTATAATAATAAATTTAACGTATTAATGTATTAATTAAAAAAAAAAGATTATTTTAAAAATATAATATACTTTAAAAATATAATATACTTTAAAAATGTTATTGCGCTTTTTTTTAACATGCATACATATTACATATATGTATATAATAGATATTAAGTTGAAAACATGTTTTTTTAAAAATATATTTGCGCATATATACAGGTGAGTACGTATAATATAATATTGCACTAATTACTTAATATATGCATGTATTTTTGATAAAAAATGAGTGATATCATGTAATAAGCTATACATTATTATATTTTCTATAAAATGAATAAATACACAAAATTTGACGAGAAAAATTGAGAGAATAAAAAGCTGTAATGAATTAATGCAGGTATAAGAGCGCAAAAATAATAGTTTATTCCTATACGTTATATACATATACGTTAATTGATAAACGTTTTGATCAAATTATTAACTATTTCTGTTATTACGGTACCGCTCAACTAAAAATATTTCCGAAATATGGGCATAAATACGTATCTTTATTGTGTTAATGTCATTTAGGGCCGGTTGTTCCATCTTTTGGTAAATTTTACCTGTTGAGTAAGAGGCAAGTACTCAATCACATGCGTGGATTACCAGATTTATCTTACAGTAAAATTTACTGAAAGGTGGAACAACCGACCTTAGACACCCTTAGAGGAAGTTTTCGCTACTCAAGTAGCGATTGTTAAATTAGGATTCATGAATCCATTTTATTTCAATGTTGAAATTTAATAATTTGCATATAATTGCGATTTCAAGATTCTTGTTGAAATATATATCTTCTAGATGCAACCAAAATGTTATTTTTTTGTTTTCCTCGATACAAAAAATCCGAATTATAGCATTATAGTCTAACAGTTTGAACTCTAACCGGTCTAATGCACAAACGTGAAACATAATGTATACAAAAAGAATTTATTTTCAAAGCTAATAGTATGTAAGTCGTCATCAAAAGTGTATATGTGATATGATATCGATACGTTGGCCTCATAATAATTAAGACTGACTGAACGTAAACAATTAAGATTATAATTAAAGCTAAAATTTAACGTTAAGATAAAACGAGACTAATAGATTCTTTTTCTGGCAGTATCCCTATTAAAAAGGAAAAAAAGGCCAAGAGAGTGGTCAAAACGTTTACCAATTGATGTATATGATATAAAAATAAAAACTTTTTATTATTTTTGTGCATTTACGTTTACTTATAGTTATGTTGGTTAATTTTTATTTTCTTATATTTTCTAATCATTAGTTAATTTTTTCAACGTATTAATTATTCTAAAGTTATCGCTAGTCTCGGAATGACAACTGGCTAGATCTATGAAATACTGACGATCCACGGGTTTAAATGGTTTCATTAATTCTATGATACATTCAGTATCATTGTACGAAATATAGCCAGAGATAATTTATCTCTTTTGA